TTTCTAAGATTTTTGCTTATTACTTATACATAAATCTCATTTCCTAAGTATATTGAGGTGTCTAACTGTGTATACATTTAAAATTATAAAATGTTTGTATTTTAGGGATTCCCAATAAAATTTGCTTTGATGTCAAGAAAGACAGCAAGGGCTTACAATGCTTTATTTAAATGGCTATTAGAAATTGAGCCACAGTGGACACCACAAACAATTATTATAGATTTTGAGAGAGCTGCAATGGTGTCATTGAAAGCAATTTTCAATAATGTTATGATAAGGGGTTGTTGGTTCCATAGCTCTCAAGCTCTGTGGAGAAAAGTGGGAAAATGTGGTAAGCTTATAAATATTTTTGGTAGTTCATTAAGTATATATTAAATAATCTTAAATGTATTACAGGAATGATAGAAATATGTACCAGGCATCAAAATGCATATGACATCATACATATGCTAATGGCATTACCACTTTTGCCTGTGGATAAGGTGATGGAAGGCTTTCTTTCTATAGGACAATTTTACACAGAAAATGTTGAAAATAGTTTGCCAGTGGAAAGCTGTAGAATATTACAAAGATATTTCCAGTATTACAAATCAACATGGCTCCAAGGTTTGTTAAACCTGAAAAATATTAGAAGAAGATGATATCGGGAATATGATGCATTACATTTTAACATTTTAGTTTCACTGAGCATAGTTGTAAAATTGTTTGTCAATTTTAATAACAAATAACTTTGTTTAAGTAATTGAACAAGTTTTTTTTAATTAAATTTATATATTTATTTTAATTTATTTAGTTGTTAATAATTTAAATATGAATAGTAAAATACTGACACTGATTGAGAAATATTGAACAATAATTACAGTGTATTTAAAAACATAATGTATATGTTACCGGCAATATGGGGAATCGGGTATTTTACAAAATACCTAGGAATTATATAAAATGCCAAAAATCACTCGGAAATATACATAGTACAAGCTTTGCCTAGGTATTATGTATAATGCCCAAGGTGGAGTAGGAAATATGATAAAAATAAACAAAATTGGGTATCGCCTAATACCAGCGACTTTACTTACAAGTTTATCGTGAATGCACGCTCCGTGTCCGCATGTGCATGATTAGGTGCAATGAAGATTGAAATTCTGAAGTTCTGAAGTCAGTCCACTGTATCTCAAAAATACTACTACAAATTTACAATGTTCCAACAGACACAAAAGTGGGGTTAAGAACAGTCGACAGGAACTAGCCAATAATTTTTAAAATGTGTGTTGTATGATCAAGTATCAAAATAAAAATTGCATATGCCTTAAAAATAATGTTTTTCTGCACTTCAAAATGCCATTTTTCTACAATATGTAGTAAAAAGTATATATTAGTAAGTAAAATGTATAAATGATAGTACTTAATATAACAATAATATTAATAATATAGCTATACCTATGAATAAAAATATAATAGTAGATAAAAAATTAGATTTTGTAATATGAGTAATAACATATTATGATAAGTTGTTTTTTTTTACTTTGCCTAAAAAAAAATTGGTATTTTACATAATGCCTAGGTATATCATAAAATACCTAGGTTATATATAAAATAATATTTAAAATCATATGTTTTATTTACATTACCTAAAATGGGTCGGCAGTATACATAATGCCTAGGCATTTTTCAAAATACCTGAATTATTCATATTAACCCTAACCCATAGGTACCTATAGTAGATAATACATTTATACTGTAAATATTGTAAATAGGTACCTCATTACCTTTTTTTTTTTATTATGGTATCGAGGACTGGAGGAGGAACTATGGTGCCAGTACTTCTCCTCCAGCCACCATGGTTTATTGTCAAAAACAAAAACACACAACAATTAACAACGGCGAGCCAATCCCCCACTTGCTGCTATTACAAACAAAATTGGACTATATGTATAATAAAACGGCGGAGCTCTGCTCTCCCTAATTGTCTTAGGCTACAAATCAATTTTCGGCTAACAAGGTTCTATGCTGAATTCCGTCGGTTCACAGCCTGTCGCACTCGTTCTTCTTCTTCCTTGACCGAAAGGATGTTTTCCACCATGCCGTAGAATAGCCTGAACCGGCTTCTCTCAGGATCGCATACTTCCCGTGAGCGTCAGCCGGCAAGAGCTCGAACGCCGGTCCGCAAATGATGTCCGGAACGTCGTCGGTGCTCGGTCGATGGCCAATCCTGGCGCTCAGGGCTTCACGAAAGCCTTCCCAATCCCAATGGGGGCAATCGAACAGCGTGTGTTCGGTGGTGTCTGATTCGCCCGAACACTGCCAGCAACGAGGGCTGGCGGCCCTGTTCATGCGATGGAGGTACCATTCGAAGCAGCCGTGGCCCGTGAGTGCCTGTGTCATGTGGAACGTCAGAGGCACCCACGGGACAGTCCTTCCTAGCCATCTTGCCAGGTCAGGGATGACGCGGCGCGTCCAGGCCGCCTTCGGGGTGGCAAGCCATCTCGCCTGCCAGGCGACGATCGTGGTTTTTCTTGCCTCGAGTTTCACGGCCGCCTTGGAAGGCCGTTGTTCGCCGGGCTCCATTGCGGCGCACAGTCGGGATCCGATGTACTGTCCCTCCAGTCCAAGCAGATCAACGGGTGACATACAGGGCGGCCTCGTCCGACACTGTGCGGTAGGACCGGATTGTCCTCAAGATCCGCCCTAGTTCTGGCGACTCCTGTAACGGAAAGGATCCAGACGGGAGCAGCGTACAACAACTGACTTTCCACAACAGACGCGAGCAGCCTCCTCTTCCACTGTGCCGATCCGCCTATGTTGGGCATGAGCCTGGATAGCGCAGCCGCCGAACGGGGTACCTCATTACCTAGGACCTAAAGCTAAAGGTGGGCATTTAAATAAAATGAATAATATATGTAACCCAAGTCATGTTAGTTAAGTGAACACAAGGTCGTTAAATTAGAAGTTATTAGTTAGCAAATAATACATTTAACTCGCAGTCTAGTCTAAAGGTAATATGAACAAAATATTAACTTGACTCTGTTTTAAAAAAAGTTCCATCTACTTTTTAAATCGGCAAGTAGCTCACATAAAGAGTATTTTGTTTCTTTCTATAATATGATATTATTTTATATGTTTAAGAAACAAAAATTTCAATAAATAGCATTATATCATCTATTATTATTATTATTATTATTATTATTATTATTGTCATAGGTAGTATTAGATTACTATTATTTTATGTATTAAAACTATTAAAACCAACAATTTAAAAATATTTTTTACTTTAAAAAGCTAAATTATTTCAACTTGTTGCGTTAAAAAGTTAACTAAAAAATAATTAACTAGTTACCTAATGCTTACCTGTTTGGTTTGATTTGTACTATGAAAAAAAAAAAAATGAAAAATAAGCGAAAAATGTATGTATAATTTAAAAAAAGTACATATGTACAAATGTATATATTTTTGGAAGCACGTTGTATGATTTTACTGATTTTACTTTTGAATAACTGCATGGTACTTTTGTTGAGAACTTAAATCTCGGCGTTTAGATATTTTTAGATTCAGGTTTTAGAATTACGAAACACTTAAATCACCTTTACGTATGCACGCCGAAGCTGAACTAACGATACGTATAGAAGTAGTAATGGGCACTATCGAATACTACTGATAGTAAAGCTATGCTATCGAATATTTCATTCGAATGTTTTTTGGTATGACCGAATAGTTTTTCATGATAAATTAATGCTAGGTTTCTGATAGGTCATAAGTAGTTGATACTGTAACCAAAATACATATATACATATATATATACAATTGTTTTTTTTTATAGATATTGTAAATCAAAATACTATTAAATTTTATTGAAATTGATTGAAAGATATTAAAGTAGAATTAAAGTATGAATTTAATTTTTAAATATGAATACAAAATTTTAATTTTATGTAAAATATGATGTTTAATTTTACTAACACTTTTTTTATAGGTTTGCAGGACCTAACGAACATTTAACAATTTTATTGCTCAAATACCTACCAGGGTAATGAATGAAAGTTGTTATGCTGAAACATCTGAAACTAGTCAATTGTCAGTTAAAAGATCAAAACAAATGACATTGTTTTCAAGGTAATTTATTAACTAGTTAATACAATATATTAGAGCATAATTAGTCAAATTTAATTTGACTTTCCGGCAGAAATTTTTTTTTATGATAAAGACAAACAAACTTGTAAGGAATCTTGTATTAAATATTTAAATCTTAGATATAAATAGAACATTTTTTATGAATATCTTACTAAATATATTTTGCTAATTTTCATGATTTTTACGAATTTTATCAAAATTCTAAGTTTAAACGTTCATGAAAAATTATTGTGGATTTACGATCAACTTTTTTTTAAATAATCCATTAAAAACAACTTACAGGGAAGAGGGAACCTTGTATTACATTTTGAAGTTTTTTGATTGAGCAAAAAATTTTTATCGATTTGGGTTTAAAAAAAACAAATAATCATCGAAAATTTCATGTGCCTATAAATAGTTAATACAAATCAGAATATTTTGAAAATTGTATGGTGTATAGAAAATGCTTACACAAATATTCGGTGAATATTCACTACAAGAAACCGTGATGACAGACACACAAAAAAAAAAAAATATATAAAAACACATAATTGTAAAACCAATTCTTTCATCGCTCCGCTTAGAATTTAATATACCTTTACACTTTTACAGGTCATACTTTACAATTAAATTGTTCATAATTATTTAAAATATACGTCATTGTCCGTGTTAAAAATAAAATAATAAAATAATTTAACACGTAAAAAAACACAAATAGATGGCGCAATAGTGTGTGTAGTCCCGAGTGTATTGCTAATTTTCTACTGACTCCAACTACTACCTACTCCAGCTGTTGTATGCCTTGGTGTCTATGGTCCGTGCTTATTTACAATATGTTATCAGTTTATCACTATGATAACACAATGTATTTTCATTAATTATATTTCATTTTATTAATTCTTAATCTTAAATACTTAATTAAATATTATAAAGAATATTATAATAGCAAATACTCTATATAGAGTATTTGATAATAGTTAATATATTCTTATATAAGTAACAGTGCATTTATTCTTATGTGTTTGTATTAACTAACATGACAGGATTTTATTACTTCGTAATTGTCGGACATGGTGACAATCCTATATTTGAAATGGAGTTCATGTCTAGCAAAGAAGTAAAAGTATGTTATAATTTAATTTAATTATGATGATATTATCATATGTGTACTTGTGTTCTCCCAATGAATTATTTTAATTTGTTGTGTGTGTATTTAAGTAATTTAGCTTCAAATCAAAATTTAAATTTCACTTGGGTGTCAATATTTGTTAGGTATTTAAATTAAAAATAATATATTGTTGGAGGACAATGTGGCTGAGCGGATAACTCGTCGGTTGTGAAACTCGGTCACGGGCGGCACTTCTCTCCGGGCAGTCACGGTGTCTGGAGAGAGAGGTTGCATCCCCCAACCGGGCATGGCAGAAACCTACGGGTGCCCAATAGAAATTCTGCCAAACAAACACACACGTGTTAAATTTTATAATTTTTATATTGCTGCACAATATTGATTTAATTGTGCTATAATATTTTATTTTTTTATTCGATTTATAATGTCAATTTTACATTTTTACGATTTTAATTTTGATTTCTAATTACGAGAAAACAGTCATCGTTTGTCCAGCTGTTGACAGGCCTAAGAAAATAAAATATTAGTTATTTATTAATATCTATATCATAGTATGAACAGCATTATAGATCTATCAGCTATGTTTAATTTTAATTTTAAGTTATCATTTTTATAAATTTTTGATTTTATGATTTAAATGATTTAGATTTTATAAAAGTTATAGAACAATTATTATTTTGGTATAAATTATGGATTAAAATTTTCAATTACAATACAAATTTTGGGTGTTAAAAAAAATATTTAATTTCTTACATAGTTTTTAAAGATTTCTATTAAGAGGACGCCACACCCGCATGTGTTGTCTCCGTCTTACAAAGGAACAACATAGCAAAAACTGTTTTGTGAAGGAACAACTTTTATCTTTCTGTGTTTGTAGTAGTGGATCCAAAATTTCTGAACATATTGAGTAGAAAATTATCTATGCAACAGCGTGCCTATGTTTTAGATAACATAAAAGTTATTTGCTTCTAAACATTTTGTTTTTTTGTTTTTTTCATTTGCCTATAAAAAATGATTGGAAAGTGTAATTAAAAAAAAAGCACGCTGTTGCACAAATAAAGTTCTTCTTTACGTGTTGTGAAAATTTGGTAATTCTACAGCAAATATGGTGCGAGAAAAGTTGTCCCGCGCTAAACAGTTGCGGGTGTGGCGTCCTCTTAATGTTTAAAATTGATTTCAAGCCCTGAAGTTACCACATAAATTGCTCTAAATTACCTAATATAATTCAATCACAAAGTGTTACAAATCTACCAATTTTAGGAATTATGTTAATTTACATTTCAAACTTACAATAATAAATTACAAATATACTTACCTACTTTTTATTATATTGTTTTAAATTATTGTAACAACTGTTAAATGAATACAGAATAGGTCATATATTATTATTAATTTATATAACAATGAATCAACAATTTTGTAAACATTTTTCTTAATAATAATTGGTAACTACCTAGCATTAACAATTTAAATGATTTAAATGTTATCTTAGATAGTTAATTAAATTGAATCAAATCATTATTTTGTATAGTTATGCTATGTAATTTTGAATATGTTATAGAAAGAAGATCATAGCCATTTAAACCAATTTATAGCCCACGCTGCATTAGATCTGGTTGATGAATTAATGTGGAAGTCTACATCTATGTATTTAAAAACGGTTGATCGCTTCAATCATTGGACAGTATCAGCTTTTGTTACAGCTAGTCGAATGAGATTTATTATTGTACATGACTCTAAAAACGATGAGGGCATAAAAAATTTTTTCACCGAAGTATATGAAATGTTTATAAAGGTAAATATTATGAATAAACTTTTGATGATATTCGTTTCCTTGTACCTAGTTATATCACAGAATAAATATTCTGTGGTTTTATTATACAAATAATAAAGCAAATATAATATGTAGGTTTAAAGTATTATGTATACTCTAAAATAGATTGTAATGTACCCATACATTTTTTTAAACTTATTTTCGATGTTTGCTTTAGTATACTTGCTACTATAAGAAAATATTTGTTCATACATATAATAATAAGTATTAACTTTTTATTACGATTTAGGTGCATATAAGTAAAATAACTTTCCACTTAATAATAATTATCAATCATAAAATGTCTGAAGTAAAAAATTGTTTTGCTTACCTCACTATACCATAACAGTATGTAGTCTTTATCATCATGTCTTAAGAAAATCTAATACAGTCGGTATACATGTTAATTTTTATAACTACGTATTTTTTTTCGATCCCTCAGCTGTCGTTTTAGATGATACTGACTGTACTTATCTTTATTACTAATTGAAATTCATGAGTTATTTTTGATCCACGAAGAACTCTTAAAACTAGTTCCTATATAGTAGCATATTGTGTGTACATAAATCCATTCAATTATTTAAGTGGATTTTTGGATAATATTACTATTTGTACCCTATGATAGCTACTTAATACCTTCTTACTAACTAATTTTTTCATTTTCAGTATGTGATGAACCCATTCTATAAGCTAAACATGCCAATCAAATGTGGATCGTTTGATAAAAAAGTACAATTCTATGGTCGTAAATATTTAGTCAACTAGTATTTTATAAATTTATAATAGATATATTTATAATTGTGATCTTTATTTTTTCATGTCAAAATATAAACTAATTTATTCTTTATTGTTTGATCGATTGTTAATTTTTAATGCATTTTAAACATCTTAATTGATAGGTACATTTTGTTACTAATTACGATATTTACATTTTTATATACTCTATTTTAGAAACATTGAATATGTTTAAAGAGACGTGAATTAAATTAAACAGTAAATACTATGATTTATTTATTAATAAGTACTTAAATAATGAAACTAAGTGTTTTCAAACTAGTAAACTATAACTTATTAATTATTATTCAACAATAATGTTCATCTATAATATCAACATGTAACATTTTGATGATACGATTTAGTTCAATGATGCCATTTTACGTAATTACTTGAGTCGTATGGTACCTGAAACATAGTTTTGAAATGTTACATGATATAGGTACTCTATTTTTATTTATATCAAACTTTATTATATTACATAACATTGTAAGATTGAAAATATTAATAATTATTACTTAGCAAATTATTATCAACAACATTTTTTCATTATATGTAACTTAAGTTGATAAATAGATAAATTTAATGAATTAACTTCACTCAAAATTGTTTTTTTGAAATACATAATAATTGCATACCAATAGTATATTGATTATACCAATAATTCAAAGAATATCAGCTATTTTTTCAAATATAATTATTTTGTAACTGAAATATAATATTTTTTATTTATAAATTAAAAAAACAACAAATAATGTATATACATAAATTATAAAATTAAGACAACTACAACTAATTTTTTTATGATTTGGGTTACTTTAATGTTTTGTTTTATAAAATTATATTTATATTTTAGGTATAATACACTTAAAATGTATTATATTTTACATACTAATATTTATAAGGGTTGGTCGAACTTATAATTAATCATTTCCATTTTATTTTAAATTTATAATTCATAAAAGGTGTTCTGTAGTCCTACTGAGTACTGTTCGTTTAAAAAGTTAGCTTAATAACTATGAAAATAAATCAAAATGCTTCATAGTGAAAAGTCCATTTAAGTGTGGAATAAAGTTGAATGCATGCACAATTTATTTCATGTTAGGTTTTTATACTATTTTTTATACTATTTCAATGTAAAATAAACTTACGTTTTCATAATTGTCTATTTTCGGTTCAGTTTTACTATTTTTTCTCATTTTGCCATAATTGTTATCAAACATGGAATATCCAACAAATTTCTTACCGACAAAAAACTAGTAGAAAACAATAAATGAATGTTATTTTAATAGAATTTTTTTTTTTACACATTTTATATAGTATAAAAGCTGAGCTATCTACATTTATGGATATTTACAGAATGGTTTTAATATTATTAAATAATAATTGTTTTATTTGTACATATAAAATATGTTTTTAATAACTATTTTAACTTACCCCTCCACAATTCTGTCAGTAGCATATAAAAAATAATTCATTTGTTATTATATATATAGACATACAACTTTAATAATGTAGGATATCAAAATCATTTTTAAATAGTAAGTAATGATATTGTAAAGCCAGAATTAAGTTGTATATTAAGTTGTCACTTATTACAACTCATAGATGTCCATAACTTATTTTTGTATTAGATATATACTAATTTAAATAGTAAAGAGTTTCTTATGATCATTTCATATTTTACTATATTTTACATTCGTATTGTTTCATTATCGGAACTACTTTCCACCAGTAAATAATGTTAAATTTTGTGCTACTATTTCAATTTAATAATTACTTCAGTAAAATATGTTGAATTAGAGTGAGTTTCCTCCTAGTACATCTTAAAAATACCCTTATTTAATGTTTCAAAAATAACATAGTACCCGAGTGCATCCCGAAGAAAAAGGTCATATTTTTAACGTAGTGGAGTGCGTCCCAAGGAAAAAGTTGTTGATATGGTCCGAGTGTGTCGCAGTTAATTTAGAGTTACAAAAGGTGCTTCCAAAAATGTATATTAGTATATTACACATCGTCTGTTAAAGCCTATTTTAGTTGATGTATAAATATCATAGGTAGTTGTATATTTTAACCATGGTTATCTGCTCGTAAATAACACCCTAAATTAACAACAATCAATGGGGAACTATTACAATAATCAATTGGTCAACATAGGCCTAACTCATTTTTGTTTTATTATTATATAGATAAATTTGTATATTTTATTCATTTAAATAAAATATTTTATAAAAAATATATGTTGTTTTTCAAAATAAGTTTCTCAAGTTTTTCTTGAGTAAGTAACCACGACACCAATTTATAGCAGTCTGTCAATATATCAGTAATTAAGTAGGTACTATCTATAAATTACAATATTATACTCTAGTACGATTTATTCATTTTTTATATTATTAAATACTTACTCTACTGTCCAATTGGCACATCTATAAAATATTAATGACAGTTCATATTATAATGTATTTGTAATAAATAATGATAAAAAAATATATATACAATAATACCAGTTGGTATACCTACCCATTACAAATGTATGTTTGTATAGGTATAACAACTTTTTTTTGTTAACCGGTTAAAAATGATTTATTCATTTTGTTTTATATTAATTAACTTTAATACAAATCACCTACTTATCTAAATCTAACTAATTTGTTTTAATAAATAAAAATTCAAGTACAGAATTTTGTATAAATTGAATAGGTGAAAATGATAAAACTGTAGTATATTATGTTGTATTTACTATTTACCCACATAGTTGTATATTAAAAAAAGTTTATTTTACCTATTGCCTATAAAATAATTATTAGGTTCTATGGTTGGTAATACATGACAGTGTAAACACTACAATAATAATTAGGGCTGGGATTTTGATGCCCTAAAAGTGCCCTAATAAAAATGCTTTTATGTCCTAAAACTTTGGCATAATGCTCTACCTTTTTTTTTATATTTATAAACATTTATTATACATTTTAAAGGATTGAAAAAAATTTTTTTCAAATAGAACTGATCGTTTAAGGCTTCTATAAACAGATTTTTATAATTTAAAAAATAATCGTTTCCACTAATTATTTTTATTTTGTATGTTTAAAATGTTTAAATAATATATTTATTTACATGTTCATAGTTATAGCTCATTAAATGTATATAAAAATCATGTAAAAGCATTAAGCAATACTAGAAAGTCAAAAATAAAATTTCAAATTCAAACTTGAATTTAAAAACTTCAAAAATGCTTCTAAAATCTATGAAAAATGCAAAATGAAAACTTCCTTATCGCGTGATTCGGAAAAACAATTAGAAGTGCATTGAAATTCCATCCTTAATAATGGCTGGTGAGTAGATATTTGCATTATTTACCTCTATCAGACTCCATGCGGCATCCGCAATTTACATCAAACTCAGTTTGTATGTAAATATTAGTTTTAATATGCCTCATGATTTAATAAAATTAAAATAAACTGGAGCTAATATTAAAACTACACTAATTAAAAAATATAGAACGATAAAATACCACAAAGGCAAAAATATTAACACAGTATCTTATTTATGAATAGACTTGTTATTTGTAATGGGTTTTATTGTTTTCAATCAAACGAGAGAGATATCTCTAATTAATTAATAATTAATAATACAAGATAATACTATTTACAATATTATATTATACATGGAAGAATTTTAAGATACAAGAAATAATTTATATTATAAATTAGGTAGGTTGTAGGTATAGGTAATATCGTAATAATATATGTTAACTTACCAGCTGAGTATTGTCAAAATATCCATGAAAATGATTGCCAAAGGAAAAAAAATGTTAATAATTTATTATAATTATATCATCAATATTGAAGATTTAAATATTTTCTTCTCTTTAAAAATGTTGGATGTTTCAATTCCCGTTATTGAAAAATATATCTGCTTTCATTTTAAACTATAAAAAGTTCTTGACTGTTAAAATTAATTTTTGTATTCATTTTATTTATAACCATTCTATAAGTACACATTACGTACCAATACGTAAAGTAAAATTTGTTTCAAATGTACCTACTCACAAAATGTTATGGGTAGCCGGGTAGGTATTACGTCTAATTAGTATGCATACATTTTAGCAGCATTTATCGTAGTCCATGTCCATTTAATTTTTATTGCATATTATTGTTAGTATAGAATTATATAAAATAATTTTAATCAACCGTCTAACAGTGGCAACATTTGTATAAACTAGAAAATGTTCTGCTCTTGAAACATTTTGGAGTTAGTCGTTAATGGAAAGAATACGCACAACAAATAGATTTACACACATTTGTTTGTATTATACATAAGACAAATTAAAGCAAATCATTTTGTATCATGATCATGTCGATATAAGTAATCACCCTATATCCTCACCATTATATAGCTATATATTATACTTATATCAGCCATATTTATGGCTGATATAAGTTTAATATACAGCTTCATATCAACATCTTTTTATTTAGTTAATTGTGGTCTATTTCATATTAATATTCTTAGTTTGTTACGCTTGAGAATACGCAAGAATTTAATATCTGGTTAAAATATCTGCAGACACAAATTTATGTGTCCATAATTTTATTTTTTAATGTTTTGACCTACTTACAAATTATGACTACGAAGTATTTGCGACAAAAAATATTAAATCGAAATACCCCAACTAACTATCTAAGTTTCCTTTTATGTATACCTATGTAAAATAATATAATATATAAGTATTTGCCTATTTGCAACCTATATTGTGTGATTAATACAACAGGGATGTTGTTATTATATTATTATTATGAACCTAATATTAATATTGTTTGAGTCCACAAATCAGTGTGAACCTAAATCCACTAGTGCAGAGTAGTGACCTACCCATAGGCTATAACAATCTTATTAAACTATGCATCAGATAGCATTTTTTTTCCATAGGATTGTCCTATATAATAATAATAATTAGGTATATAACTGTGCGTGTCTTATGTTTTAGATTAATTTATTTTAAGTTATTTCTTTATATTCAAAATGTTGGGTGAGACACGTCGTAAGTGCCCTTGTGCTCCCCAACCCCCACTT